ATTCCGAAAGAAGAGAGTTGGAAAGTTGTGGGTACACCAAAAGAAATTTATTGAGAGGATACTAGAAAGATTTGGTATGTTTTAAGCCAAACTTGTGAAGACACCACTAGCAACTCATTTTAAGTTCTCTTCCTAATTGAGTCCAAGCTCCGAAACAGAAGTGGGTTATATGTATTGAGGAATCAGCCAACCCTAGCCCTCCTCCTCTTACCAAAAATAACTCTAGCCTTCCTAATAAAGAGAGCTCTAGATCTCTTATCAAAGAGAGTTCTAGGTCTCCTACCAAAAAAGGCTCTAGTTTTCCTACTAAAGATGAATCAACTACTATACAAAGGATTCTTACCAAAGAGAGACTAGAAAGTTTCCCATTGAAGTTCCATCCTTATTTTTCTATTTCTATACTTGTAATTATTTCTAAATTATTCTCTATTGCTCTTGTATATATATTCAGTTTTGTACATATTCTAAAATCAATGAAATTCGACCCATTCTTTTAAGATCACCTTCTTCATATTACTTTTTTAACTATATGGCAGGTGTACCATATGCAAATGTGATAGAATGTTTGATGTATGTGATAGTGTGTACCGAACCAGACATTTCTGATGTAGTTAGTGTGATAATCATGGGTAATCCGAAAAAAGAGCATTGAAGTGCTGTAAAGTGGATTTTATGATACCTAACTGGATCAACCATTGTATTTGACAGAGCAGAGGCCTCGACGAGCATCATTGGTTATGTTGATAGGACTTCGTAGGGGATCTTGATAGTAGAAGATCAATGACAGGTTACGTGTTCAGGTTTGCAAGAGGTCCTATCTATTGGAAATCAATGTTACAGGATATAGTTGCATTATCCACGATAGAGGTCAGTACATGGCTCTGACAGAAGCAAGAAAAGAAGCCTTCTGACTCAAATGATTGATCAGTTAGCTTGGTTTCAAGGAAGAAAATTTAATTTGACTGTTTGATAATCAAATTGCTATACATCTAGCCAAAGAATCAGGTATTTAATTTCCGAACGAAGCATATTGATGTACACTACCACAAGATACAAGAGTAGACGGACAAAAGGGAAATGTATCTCAAGAAAGTTCGTACCGATGATAATGCGACTAACATGCTAACAAAGGTCGTAACAAGCATTGGGATTTTGAAGTCCACTAACAGCCCTAATTAAACTTTCTTTTTCTATATTATATAACTTTGATAAAAATGACAGAAAAAATAGTAAACTATATAATTAGTTTGGGTCTTAATCAATTTAGAAATAGCAAGAACCAATTCTAATCAAGGATTAAAGTATCGATATGGTACTCCTGATGTGGGGTGTATTGTATCCGATATCCATATGTATCCCACAAGTCGTGCGTATTGGCATGATACATCTCTGTATCAGGCCGCATCGTGTCATATTGATGGATATGGTCCGATATGCACTGTTATGGAAGTGTATCCATTCCTAGTTTAACAAATATAATATAATTATTATCAAAGCATAGTTATTATTTGAAAAAATATAATTATTATATAAAAATACTAAATAAATAATTTTTCCCAACAAAACTAATGGAAAATAGAAAATTCTAATTACAAAAACTGAAATGAATAATTTATGATTTAATTTCCCCAAAAATTTAATAAAAAAATTATAAAAAATTATTTTATCTACATCAACAAGTGACACGTGCAAATGCATCTAGGACGTAGGATTGTTAAATGGAGTTCGGATCTTTTACTCATACCTACCCACGCCTCACTACAACTGTACATTGAGAACATCTCTATTATTTGCATACTACCATTCATGGGAAAATGTTCCCAATGTATAGTCATAGTGTCATGTGGGTAGGTCCGGGTAGGTCTGAAAGTCTGTTACCTAATCTGATTTGTATGGTCTGTCTATTGAATCGAATCGGATTGGATGTGGATTTAACTACATTTTAATTAAAATCCGAGCTTAATTATATATAATTCTTTTAATTTCTTTTGTATTTTAAAAATATATGAAGTGTTAAATTAAATCCAAATTCGAGTGGAGTTTGACAAGATTTGAATCCAATGTGAATTTTTCCCAAATCCAATTAGGTTTCAGATTTAAGATTTCATTAGTTGAATAGGTTTAGAATGTTTCTGAATAGGACCTGCTTATAGTCCTAGTTTGGAGAGAGAGAAGAAAATAGTGTGGTGGATGAAAATACATAGATTAAAATTTTGAGATGTTTGTCCTGACTAAAAAGGCAAATTGGGGAGTCCGGATTTGCTGCTTACATAGCTATGTATAGCTTGATATATAAGCAGTCATGAGCAAACATGCCAATGTTCTGAGTTCTGTATAACTTGCCACATAAGCCGAGTGAGCATGCCAATGTTCTGTACACCTGGTTATGGGTCCCAAGTGTATGGAACATTGGCATCTTCACAAGTTATACACAACCTTTGCAAGCAATAGATCTTGACTCCAAAGTCCAAATTTAAAGTCAGGGGTAAGGTCAATCCTACCTAACTTGAGGCATTGAACTCCCAACCTTATGTCATTGGGTTGGGGTTGGACTAGATTTGAGGTATCCCAAATTCTTTATTTTTTTCTTGACTTAAAAACTAGCCAGAAAATTAAAGAGAGATACCACAATACACTGGGGGTAATGTTAGTTAAGGACATCAACATTCACTTGTGACAATGTGGTGCCATTGTACCCTTGAGGTCTTAGGTTGTGTTTGGTACCACTGCTATTCTATTTGCAATGTTTTAAGTAGCTCAATACAAAGTTTATGAGAATATATATTTTTTTTCTATTATAAATGCTTTGAATTATTAATACAACATTTGGTATCAATGTTGTTTTTGAGAAAACATTAAATTTGGTGTTTCTATTATAAATGCCAACACCCAATCTGATGCCTATATTTTTTTGTGGATGTGATTATCTGATTTATAAGATAAAGACAATTTCTCAAAAATTTGTATTGACCAACTTAAAGCATTGCAAGTAGAAATAGCAAGGGTACCACACACAACCTTAGTTTCTTAATTTTTCTTGATGTGGCTTTTCAAGGCTCTCTCCCTCATTGGTGCTAAATACTCCTTCTATATAAAAAATATCAACACTCAAGATGAAGTTTGTTAATTGACATTATGGTGAGTAATAAATTTATCAAAATTCATGATTTGAGTAGTTAAGAGAATAAAATTGCAAAATGACAAAAATGGACATAATTAATGAATAGATTTAAAAAGAAGAATGGAAAAGAAAGGGTTAATAACTAGGATTTTAGAGGAGAGGGAAAACGGTCTCATAAAACAGCAAATGGCAATTTTGAAATATGCTGGACTGGGTTGAGGCGTCAGTCAACCTCCACCAACTAAAGTTAAGTCGGGTTTACATTTTTCAAACATAACCCAAACTCGATTTTCATTCCAACCGTTAAAGCCAACCCGTACCAAGTTGCACCATTAAAAGCCAAATATCGGCACTCTAAAATAAATATTTGTTTAAATCTTTGATGCGGGGAAGGTCTGATACCGGAAGTGATGCAGGAAAACCGGTAAAGGTATGCATTCCAACAATCTACCAACATGTTTTGTTGGTAGAAGATTCAACTCCCTGCAGTGATCAGCGAGAGAGGTCGATGTGTGGAGCGCCTTGTGACAGAAGATTCCATTTCTCTTCTTTTAACGCATCTGCCACAGTGCCACGTATCAACCGTGTGTTGTCTATACTACCTACGTATGGCAAATCTGTCCTCTCACTTTGCACACGCACGTGGATGTAACGTCCACGTAATCCTTTCTTAACTACTCCCAAGTCCCAACATTACCGTTTTTACAGCTCAGAGTGGGTTAGAGCCGGTCCGACCTGTTCTGACCCAGATTGTACCCCTCTACACAGTCACGCTCTGAATTCGGAAGTCGGTCCCATGTGGGTTTTGTACGAATTCTTTGGCAAATAAAACATGAGGACAAAAACCAGTCATGTTTGCCCCACCACGGCAAGGACTAGGGAGTAGGGACTTAACTCTCCCTCTGTCTATTCTGGTCAAGGTCAACTTTTAAATAATGTTGGATAAATTTGGAATTTCTCAATATTTATCGTTGATTGTTCCACCAGATTCACAGCAACAAGTAACAACCACTGCCTTTCGATCCTTGTGCGCTCACCCTCATCCTACAAGGTGGCATCTCGGGGGAATAAACTGTAAGCAACGTGCAAAGCCCCAATTTAAATATTCCTAACCACTTTTGCTGCGACATGATTTTAATGTTGCGCTAAAACCGCATCATCGAAGCCCTCGATCTAATGTTGTGGTCCAGATGGAGTGACGTTGTGAGTTGTGGTGGGGTCATAGCAATAGATTAAAGGTCATCCTACGCTAAAATCCTAAAACCACGTCTTAGCAAAAGCGAACTCCTAGAAAAAAGAAAACCACGATTAAAATCAAAAGCTTTGGAGAGTGGAATTCTGGACTTCAGAGTACCAGACTGGAGTGGACACGGAAAGAAAGAAAATAAATGCACGGAAGCGATCAAATGCGAGTAAAACCGTAAACAACGAACTTCTCTCTGCTTTTTTACCGAAAACAAGAAAAAAGGTTTGGTTCTTACATGAGCTCGAGCTTTCAGCAGCGGCAGAGAAAGAGAACGGTAAGCAAGCACGAGGAGAGTAGCCGGTAGCGCCACTCGCATGGGCTTTTTCGTAAATGCACCCATAAAGAGTTATGTTTTGTCCTTTCCCATTCCCAATTGCTTTGAGTGTCGCTACTCGCTACTGATTTGGGGGCAGCACCCGAAGAAGGATAATGGCAAAAGGGATTGGATGGAGAGCACATGCTTATTGCTCAGTCCTCCGGGGCAGGCTCCATCCGTGCCTCACGAGTCACGAGTGGGAGGAGTATGAGGGCTATAAATGTCATTTCGCAATACCACGTTTTTTGTAGTCTTCTTTAAATAATTAAGGCATATTATTTTTTATTGTTATTATTATTACTTTTAAGTTCTGATTTCTTACCACCAACACAGTACGGAGGCATCTAAAGTCCTCAGTCTCTCCTCACTAATAAACACCGTCCAACCAACTGCCTTGCCGTCGCCTCTGTTTCCCCGCCTGAGAAACTCGACTGCCGTCTACCGGTGAGAGGAAGAGAGAAAAATTTAGAAAAAAGAGGAAACGCACATTATTTTCTTTCGACACGTTTCGCGCTTCTCCAATCGCCGCTTAGAGTTTCAGAACACGTGGTCCAGTCTCTTGGAAGCCTCTTGTCCGGTTGAGGGAGAAGAACCTCTATTTGAATGGCCGAGGCCGAATTGCTTTCCACATAGAGCTTCAGTAATGACGGGAGCTGGCAGCGATTGACAAAGTGAGAGAGAGGGAGCTTATAAGAGTTTTGATTGTTGCAGAAAGCTGTCATACTTCCCGGTGATTATTGCCGGAAAACGTCAGATTACGGTGAAATGGCTGCCGAGAAATCGCCGGACTGGCTACCCGATGGCTGGGTTATGGATGTTAAAGTACGGAAAACCGGGCAGAAAGATAAGGTGATTGCACCTTTTCAGCTCATTTTCTTGTAATTTAGGGTTTGAGCTTCAGAAATGTATGATCTTGGCTCTTTTTATTCAATCTTATTCAGTTATTTTGATCTTTGCAACACAAAACAGAGATGAGGCTCTGCTTTTTTTTATTCAAGTGGACGGAATTGAATACATTGGTACATATTGAAAGTTATTTTTAACTACTGTTAGTGTTGGTCAAGTGATTGAGCTGTTTGATTGGATCTACATGTTTTTATTGAATTTTATTTTATTTTTTGTTGTTTGATTTGATTTTGCAATTGATATTACTGCTTTGGTTCATCGGTTCTATCTGCGATTACTTATTGCATGTGAAGGTAACTGTTTGTGATGGAATAAAACATTTATCATTTGAGAACGTAAACTGACCGTTTCTTTACTAAGGGAATAAACGAGGCTTCCATGGGGAAACCATACATAGTTTTAAGTGGTTCTGCTTTGGGGAAGAGGGGGGANGGCGGGGGGGGTTCTAAATAAATCCAACTCCCGAGTAACTGGTAGTAGTCTTGTTCGTTACATATTGTACTCTCGTTGCTTGATTCCATGACAAAGAAATTGGACAGTTCTCTTATGAAGTTATAGTTAATTACTTAAGTTGACCAAACTGCCCTGGTAAATCATGTTTGTATTGCTGCTTGATTGCATTTGCATCAGAGCGAACCAATTACGACTCGTGCCTGACGTTATGGTTGATCTCCTTGCAAATACTTGAGTTGTCCAATCTGGTAATTGATTGTAGTCTTATCACATCTTATGATGCCAAGAACATTTTGGATAATTCATGTATGAAGTTATGGTTTTCCGAAGGATAAGTATCCCGAATTCTATTGCCCCCTCCTTTTTGATCATTAATAAATTCTTTTCCTCTTAAAAAAAATAAACCTACTTCTAGTTATTTTGTTTAGGTGGTGGGAGGTATCAAAACCTTTTTTTTATCCCTGGAGATTAGTTAATTTTGTCTGGAAAGATTGTTTTGGACTGATAATGTAATTTTGCCATGAAAATCTGTTTGGAAGGATTTGGATTTCTATGGTCATTTTACAGGCTATAAGTGATGATAACCAGATACTTCAATTTAACCGAAGTACCTATGTTGGACATGACACTCCAAAGGTCTGGGTATGGGACATGTGTGGTTTGCTACATGTTCCAGTTTTCTTGGTTCAAGTTCTGATGGATTAGTATGTGTTAATTTATTTGAACAAGCACCCATCAAAATATTAACAGATATTATCTACCAAAATAATTAAAAGATATTGTTAACGATAAAAGTGCAATTAGAATTTGAATCCATGCAACGCCCAACTAGAATATCCAATGCATTACTATGTTTTGAGTTTTTAATTGTTAAATGAAAAATCGGTTTATTGCATTAATTATTTATTATTATTTCCTTCATTAGATATTGATAACGGAGTGCATGCAAGATATCAAACATAGATTGCTTGCATAATAGGAAATTAATTATATTAATCCTTAAATATTTATTCACCAATGTAAGGTGTGCTTGTTACTTATTGACAGATCAATTGTAGCTGATTCCTCCTATCCCAACATTTTTTGGATCAGATGGATCTGGCTTCTGAACAAAGACCTGCAACCAATACCCTCACCCAAACTGCAAATGCATTCTTGACTTTATTTGTAATTGTGCCTCTGTGTTTTTCAGGATAATGTAACTTGGTTAGTTCACGTATTTGTATTCACTTGCTGCTAATAAGTGAACTGTTTAGTTATTGAATCACTGGATTTGAATTTGTCACTTCTGGATGAATGATAGGATGCATATTGGGGAAATATTATATTTGAGAAATCTATACGAATCATATAAATGTGAGTGCATTTTGTGGCATTTATTTATTTTGGAAAACTACTAAAAGGTTTTGAATTCCTCTGCTTATTGAGAGATTTACCAAAAAAATTCCATCTTGAGTAATACCAAAACTCATGATGAAAAGGGCATTTTAGAAAATTATGTTCATTTACAAGAAAATAATTTCAATCTGATATTAAGAACTTTGTTAAGACATTAATATTGCCAATGATTGTTATTTTCATTGGTCCATGAGCTGTGACATAGAAAATCTCCTAGAAGAAAAAGGAAAGGGTCATTACCCAATATTGGCCCCAGTTATCTGGGGTCTTGGGAGGGGAGGACTGGATTCTCACATTTTTCACCCTGAGATTTTACCATTGCACCAAGCAATTGCCCTTGTGAATAATGCCTCTGTACAGAATTACAGATGATCTGTGAACTATATTTGACAAAAACTTTGTTGGTTTAAGCCACCGATTCTATTTTCACAAAGATAATCATTTGAATGTTTTCTGTTAATGGTTTATCAATTCGGTACAAAGATATTACCCAGACGATATGTATTCTCTGATACAGGGTACCTTCAGAAACCTGATGATTATGACAATGCTAGATTTCTATATAGATACTATTTGTAAAACATGGTCTTTTCCGTCTTAATTTTGTCTTCAGGACACAAAACTGGTGAAGTTAGAGCTTTGTGACAGAAAGAAGAAACAACTAGTTATAGAAAATATTACCAATTTGGGTTTTTTTGTGGGCAATGTTATTATAGAATATGGTGCAGTTATAATAAGAATGCTATCATCTATCTGTCTTTTGTAGTATTATATTCATCTGAAAACTGGGCGTAAGTTTCGCTCCAAGGATGGGGTCCTTCGGTACATAGAGACTGGAGAGTCGCACAACTGCATGCCTCTACAAATTGAAAGGCAAGCCAACACATGCTCAAGTGACAAAGATGTGCCCAACACATGCTCAAGTGACAAAGATATGCCCAACACATGCTCAAGAGACAAAGATATGCCTGTGAGTTTGAACCTCTTATTTTTCTTTTTTTTTCTATATTTTGTTTACTTTTTTACATTGTTTTAAAAGGCTTAAGCCTTGAGGCGAGGTGTTCAGATTTTGCCTCAAGGCTTAAGCCTCACAACTTTGGTTTGAGGCTTAAGCCTTTGTCAGAATGAGGCGTAAGCCTCAAGCCTCAAGGCGTGAAGCATAAAAAGGCATAAGCCTCAAATATCAACATTATTTAGTGATTTCATGCATTTATGTATTTTTTATAGCTCAAAATATATAGAAAAAGCACTTTAATAATTATGGGTCAAATAAAAAGAGTAAAAATGAAAAACCAATAGGGAAAATCAAGTTTTATTAGTTTCTCTTAGTACTTTAGCCTAAGAGAGTTCAATGCAAAAAAAGGGCCAATCAAGTTATTAGTTTCTCTTGGATAAATCAAGTGGAATTTTTTTCTTAATATTCTAATTAAACATCCCAAGTTTGTTGTTTTTCTTATTTTTTTCTAATGGACTTATTTTTCTTTTTATTGATTTTTTTTTGCATAGATCAAATCAACTACATTGTTTCTTTTCTTCACAACTGTTGGATGACCATAAATCTAATGCCCATTTTCTTCTAATGAATAATTTTGTAGGATTGCATTTTGAAACATAAAATTTAAAATGTTTATAATTGTTAGATGATTAATTCTTATTTTATTTAATACTTAAAAGTTAAAACTTATTGCTTACAAAATTCTATTTAATGGATATTTGTACCTTCCATCATTCTAACTTGGTATATTACATGTTATTTTTATCATTTACAAATTTTAATTACTTTTTTTCTTAATTTTTGAGGCTTACGCCTCATCTTTTTGAGCCACTATGCCTCAACTACGCCTTTAGCCTTTTAAAACCTTGCTTCTTTTTATCTATAACCTTATCTAACTGCTAGATATTGGATTGTTCACTAGCTTGAAATGCCAATGGAGGATTCACCAGATTGGTTACCTGCTGGTTGGGTTGTGGAGATCAAAACCCGAAGGGGTGGTTCAAAAGTTGGACAGAAATACAAGGTTTTGAATTCAGTGATTTATTTATCATTTAATAGCTTTGGTTTACACACATTTATTTTCTATTTTTCCCATTTGAAAGTGGTCATTATATCTGTATATTGGTTCTCTGAGGTAGAATCAATTATTTGATCACAAATCTTTAGTTTCAAGATGGTTGTTAATGCATAATTCAACTGAGCTTGGGAATGAATCCTATAGCTGTGTTTCACATGTTTTTTTGGTTTGTTACATGTTCTGTTGGCAAGTTCATTACTTCATTAGTTGCACTATGTTTCAACTGGATTGTAATTCCATAGTGATCCGTGTTATTCTCTGTATTTCTAAAGTGTTCACACCCCACCCTCCCTCTAAAAAGAGTTACTATAAGTTATTATATGTAGGTTCCAATCACCTTTTTTTCTTAATGGCTGCTTGTAAAGATTTTTTATTAGTATCACGAGTAAAAGGACTTTACTAATGATGTAAGAAAAAAAATGAAGACCATTATCCTTAGGGATGACTCAAGATAAGGGGACAAATAAACAGCATGCGAATGATTCTAACTAGAAATGTTAATAAAAATGAATACATATGCAGATATACTCAGCCTCTCAACTGAACTCGGGGTATGGTGATTCCCATTCGAGAGTGGCCCTATCTACTTCCCTTGCAAGACAATCATCAAGGTCATTGACTGGTCTAGGACCCACACAAATGAACTGTTCAATATTGAGGCCATTGACTTAGATTCTTGAATCTGTTAAGCACACATAGGCCTTTGGTGCTAGCCATTCTTTGGGAAGAGCGTAGCTTCATCAATTTATCTATGTCAGAAGTCTATGCATGTCCTATGTGGCCATGCATGCTTATGTATTCCAAGTTGCCAAACAGAGGATATTCATAAGAAAAAGTTCATGGTTACAGGGCACTATATGGAAAACAAAAATCTGGCTATGTCATCTACTCAACTCAATTGAGCCTATCCCAATTTGGTAGGCTACATTAATCCTTCTGCCATTGCACTCGATTAAAAACCAAGCTTCTATCAATTGTTAGGTCCCTGTATCATTTCTTACCACTTTGACATGCATACTTCTTGGAGAGGTCTATGAATTCTTAGAAAAAAAGATGCTACCATTAAGAGTAAAGGGTGACTCACTCAAACACTTTTAGGTGGGTGAATGGGTCTAGATTAGGTTATTGCTTGGTGCTACCATTAAGAATCTAAGTCACAATATTGAGTTTCAAAATAGTGCTAACTGCAAAGTGGAGACACGGACTACAAAATAAAAGCCTTTATTATCTCAAATGAATTCCCACTGTCTGGGCTGGCAGAGGATCAGTTGTAAAAAGGATTCTAAGTTCAGTGGCCCAGACATACTCTTGAGGAGTATATTATTGTTGTTTTCAAGGATCCATTAATGATAAAAACCATATCGTGGTTCAGAAATTCAAGTAGCTGATTGCACAAACTGGTTTCTATTAAGCTTCAAACAACTAAAGACTGTCCTGTGTTTGCTGGGTTGGTCATGGGTGTATTTCTGGTTTTGTAGGTAGCATCTTGTTTGAACAAATATAGTTGCATGCTAATAGGCAATGCTAATCTAAAGTGAAATACTCAAGGGGCTTGGAGCTTTAATTAGGAAAGGCTGGAACTAATCACTTTGGGTGCATTTCTGTCAAGATTAAGGAAGGCTGGAGCTTTAATTATATATCCATGTTGAATTTAAATCTTAAAAGAATGTTTTCCTTTAGTAATGGTATCATGTATGTTTTGATATTAGTGGGAAAATATGTCAGATACCTCAAAGATTCATTAAATTTTAGGAAGTTATTAAATTTCCTCCCAGCACGTCATTGAATGCTTTTTTTATGCTTAACTTTCATATGTCTCTTCTGCTTGTTGCAGTGCTATATTGCTCCAATAACAGGCTGCAGACTTTATTCGAAGAGAGATGTGTATCGTTATCTAAGATATTATGCATCCAATCTGGAGAAGGATGGCACTGAAATGCAGTCTGCATGTGATGTCTGTAAAATATTATTTGTTGCTTTTTCTTCATGTCTTGCATTTGTAAAAATTCTTCACTCACTTCTTTTGATGTGAAGTGGCTAATTACTCAATTAATTGCTAGGCTGTAGTCAAGGATGCAAAGGAGGAATGTACTTCAGGTTGGATCAAGGAAATGAGAGCTAGAGAGAAGGGAAATAAAACAAGAGACCTGGTACCATCTTTACTTACAGTTTTTTTTGATAGGTAAAAGAAAACTTTACTAAAGAAGTAATTCATAACAGTTACAACAGTCTACGGAGGGATGTGAGGTGCAACCTCTCACAAACAACAAAAATCAAATTACATCTGAGCCCAAAACAATTGATCTTTAGTAACCCCTTGTTTAGATAGCATATCTATCATTCCATTAGCTGATGTTCTTTTTTATTGAATCCTTGAAGTCATATTGCGACTTAGTCATTTAAATTTCTTTATCTCCTTCCTATATGCCCATATTACTTTCTACCAGTTCTGCAAACATCCTATCACCAACTTAGAATCCCCTTCAATGACCAGCTTGTGGAGATTCAACTGTCTTGCTAGCAGTACCCCTTGAAGCACAGAAAGAAGCTCTGATCTATTGAGTCCTCCACACCTGCTGGTCCTGAAAACATTTCCACACTAACTTGCGGAGATTCAACTGTCTTGGAGGATCCATTTTCCACTAAGCCCCAATTCCTCCAGATATTACCAAAGAACTATGGGAGGAGATGTCCAAAGTTTTAACCTAGTGTATTAACTTTGTAGCTATACATTCCATTACCGCTTGAAAAGCTGAGCAAAACAGTACCATTATAATCCTTTACAACACCTTTCACACCTGATTGGCCCAGATTACCCAAACTACAACCATCAAAGCTGTTTTAAATTCTCTGCATCCTGATCTACCCACTCAACCATCTTTTTCTACTTGCTGCTTTGAAAATCAGCAATAATATTCCAACCTCTCAGGAAATAATTCAAGCTAACACCCTGGAAATTAACATCCACCAGAGCCCAATTAGCTATTCTGACCATAATTAAATCTATCAGACACAATGCCTCTAGCTTTTTGTCTTCAAAAATTCTGGCATTTCTTTCATTATATTAATTATCATATAAACACCCTTGTACAATGAGATTTTGTACATTAATTGGTAGGGTATTAAGAAGAACAAAAAAGTATATAGACAAGAAGGATTGATAGAACCCTCCACTAGGAATGTTGCTAGCGGAGAACCAGTCCATGTTCAATACAAAATCAGAATTAATTACAGACTCAAATGAGCTATTTTTGTTATTAAAAAGCCAAGCATTTCTTCCATCCATATAGCCCAAAAGATGGCCAGAGATATCACCACCCAAGTTGGCCTTCCTTTCTTATATTTTGAACATGCCACCTGCCTTAAATCTCAGCAACAGAATTAGGGGGGCACCCTTGCCACTGAATTGCATTCTGATAATGGGCCCATAATCTACTGGTAAATTTACAGTTAATGAACAGATGGATAGAAGATTTCAGCTACTCATCACAAAGGACACTATCAGTGCCTTCCAGGACCATACCCCTTCTCATCAAATATTCTTTTGATCTGCATGTTAATTTACTGGACAACTCATATTTCTTTTCATCATTTGGACTTGGCATTTCCTTTCCTTTGTTCATGCTGTTGTTGCTTGGGTTTCATTTTTTTTACCTTCTAGTAAATGATGGAAACTTGGAAAGCCAATCAGAGTAACGGCTTTTATTTGTTCCATGTACATGAAATTACTGGAGGGCAATTTAGTCACTAATTTCCCTACTACTACTATAATAATTATTGTTGTTAACCCCTTCTCAAGTAGATGTCTCAGCAATTTAGTCACTAATTTCAGTTTTTCTATATCCTAATTTCCATTATTATATTAATCGTACCTTTTTGCTACCCAAAAAGGTAATTAAAATAATGGAAAATTGGGATATAGAAAGACTGAATTTAGTGCCTAAATAGTTAATTATACTTTGTGCAAAAAAATATGTTTTGTTCATTTCATTTATACTTTTATGTTCTCTTTCTTAGCTACCTACTGCAGCAAAAAAGCAGAAATTAGCAAACAATAAAACAAGAAGATGCCTTTTTCTGGGACAGAGCTCAGGATTGAACGAAACTACAGATCAACAGCTAGTGGAATCGTGTGTTAAAGAAGAATGCTTATCTGAGAGTGTTTTGGATCAGAGTAAGACACTTTCTGGTACATACGAATGCCAAGATTCTACTTACAAACTCCCTTATGAAATGTGATCAAAATATGCTTCTGGATTAATTTAAGGTCCTATACTACATCTTAAGAGTTCTTCTGGGAATATTTCTTGAAGACAGTTATTCAGGAAGAGTTAACATTGTGGTATCTCCTCTAATGAAGTTGAAATGCTACACAATACTCAAACACCAGACTACCACTAATTCAACCTTTGGCGGCTTCTTTGTTGGTGAAGGGACAAAATAGGTTTGCCCTCTCCAAAACTAAGGATCATGGGGATGGGGTGTAATAGTGACAACTTCTACATCATAGAATTAAGATGTACATATATGGAAATCGAAGTGCTAACCCAAGACCTTATGGAATTTGGGGGGTGGGAATTTATTGATGGTGATGGAAGAGTCTTGGCCTTGTACTCAGGACCAATAGGTGAGAGTGACTCTTTGAAGGCATATATTAGCTTTCTTACAAGGCTTGGGGCTAGCAAAGAAACTGGGATTCAAGCAAATTGAGGTATAGAAGGGGAATCCAAATTGGTAGTAGGATATTGTAGGATGGATGCAGATGAACAGCCTGGGGTTTTGGAGCCACAGACAAGCTATAGGGAGGTGAGATGGCTAGCAAGGGAGATTTGGGCCAGGGATAGAAGATCAACAAATAGTTTGCCAGACACCTTGGCCAAACAAGGTGTAAACAGGGAGCAATTATTTTGGGCAGAATTGTAATAATTACTTCTTTTTTGGGGTCATCCTATGCTTGGGATGCTTGGGATGCAAGGTGCCAAGCCAACTGGCTAGTTGGTAAAGTCTCATGCTAGTTGTAGTGGAGGCTTGGGATTGAATCCCACCTGCACCAGGGTTGGGAGGTTATGTGTTACTCCCGTTGTGTAGCCCTATGGAGTCAAAAAGTTACTTTTTCCAATAAAAAATAAAATAAAATAGAATAAGTTGAGGATCATGAAGTCCTAGGGAGCTTCAGTTTAGAGTTTTTAACTTTGTGATTACTTTCCGTATGAGACTCAGGTATTATTAAGTATTTAATTAACCAGCCATTGACCTCATAAAGTTACACTGCATTCTCCCACTTGATTTGAACTTCCTGTATCTGCAGGTAGGGAAAATGCTGAGCTAAGTGGTCTACCCAAGCCAGAAGCTGAGGGATTGGAGAATAAGCAAGGGAAGGAGGTCCATGCAGAAAATGGATTTATTTCAACTCCTGCAACTGGAGGTTCTGTAGAAAAGCATCCCATAGAGAAAGGGGTGGAAAAGCGTAGAGGCAGAAATGGCCAGAAAGGGGTGAAGAAGCGTAGAGGCAGAAAGAGCCAGAAAGGGGTGGAAAAGCGTAGAGGTAGAAAGAGCCATCTTGGTTCAGGCAATCATAAGGCTGCAAAAGAGGTTCTGCCTCGCAGGGCTTCAAAGCGGCTTGCTGGTCTCCAAGCTGAGCTGCCATCAGATTTGGACACCAGCAAACGGGCTTGTAGTGTGGCAGCTAGAAACTCAGCTGAGCTTGAAGCCAATCCAGCGGTGAACCCTGCTAGTGAGGCTCATAAGGCTGAGCCTGAATCAGGAGGGTCTGCATGTCTTGCTTCCAAAAGTGTGCAACTTCCATCAAGTAAAGAGCCATCAAAGGAAAGTGAAAGGCCTGTTGGGGACGTTTTCTTGGAAGATATCACTGGTAAGCTCGAAACTGGTAAACAGGCTGAGGAGAAGCCAGAGTCTCCACTTGTTTTGCCATTTGGCGATTCATGGCCAGATCCATGCCTTGAATTTGCATTCAAGACTCTTACAGGTGAAATTCCAGTGGAGGATACGCTGGCAATTGAGGGTTACTTCCAGCAGCAGTTCAGCGCAAGGCAGAACCAGAGTAATAGGGGCTTTGTGTTGCCAGATCTTGGCCTAGAAAGCTTCTGCAAAACTGATTTTGTGTTTCAGTTTGGTGTGCCAGAGAAGCCTGTATCGAAACAGCAATCTCTAGTATTTTCATCCTTTGGAAATGGTGACTTGGCGAGGTCAGGTGCTAATATTTTACAGCAACCTAGTGGTGAGGGAAATAAAGAATGCAGAAAATGGTAAACCAGACACCTGTACCTGTAGGAAGTTTACACTGTAAACTGGATGTTTTGTGTTTTGCTTGATCCAGCTCCTTTTGGCGAGTTCAGGTATGAATGTTTTATAGCAACCTTGGTAAGGGAAATAAGGAATGCAGAAAAATGTTTTAACTTAAAAAGAGGCACTGTAGTTAATGGGAAATAAACTTTGTAAAACTGATGCTTTGTGTGTATTTTTTTTTAACCCAGCACCTTCTTACTTCCTTTTCTAAGTGCACTGCATTTGAATCTTATCAGATTATGCAAATATCATTGGCATAATTTCAGCCTTCTAAGTTCCTCCATATAATAAGTTGCGACATGGAATCTTACACCCATAAATCTCACCTGTATTAACAATCCAACATGGGGCTGTATTAGGCAACTGGATTCAGCATACGCCTGATGGGGTGGGAGGCTGGGGGGAGTAATCGCAATGTAATCCGTTCGTCATTAATGAAATCTGAACTGTGGCTGAACACTAAAAAGTTTGTAATTTTTGAAAATCCCCTTGAACCCACGGCTTCTCAATTTCAACCCTCTGTCCAGTCGTTACCAAACACCATCGACCATTTGTGTGATTTGTCAATTTTTGTTTGTCACCGGGGTAAGTTTCTGTATTTTTTCAATTTTACCCAACATCATAAACGCTACGCTATTTATATTCCTGCCTTTTTTTTTCTATGATATGAATTCCTGCCTTGGCTTTATCCAACCTTTTCTTCTATTCCACTACGTAAACGGGTCTTTCACCATCACCTGGCCCAACATTAAGTCCAGTGTCTGAGAAAATGAGTCAAATCAGTACAAAGTTTACTCTGCTCAAAGAACATCTCTGGTCCAGATGGAGATAGAACTACTTCATTCTATTAGAATTTGCTAATCTATATGGCGGTTAATTAATATTGGTGTCACAAGCTCAAGATTTCAATTCCGAACTATCCATCTAATATTTGTTTCATTCCAACGACGAAAGGTGGATCAACTGAAAAAAGCTGGAAATGGAAAACTAAACTCTCCCTCTCTCACACATGCGCGAGCACGCCACTCATGAAAAAGAAGAAGAAGATTCTTTCCATCCATCATAGCTCTCCTCTTGAGCACAATAGCCCCGGTCACAGCCTCCCTACAATGAGCAGAGAAACATGATTTAGTTATAGCAACTCTGAATGGGGAAATGACAATTCTAAAACGAGTGATCCACACTAGAAGAGAGTAGACTCTGACAGCCAAACAGGAGGGATAGCAAATCCTCGGGATTTCATCAAATATACAATTTCCCTACGACTCGTTTAGTTACATCACGCATGCCAGGCCTATACGTATTTTCTTCAATTGTTGAATCTATCAGCTACTTTTTCTTTTGATCACTTTCGGAAAAATCAAGGAATTTTCGTGCATTTTATTGAATTGATATAATATTGAGATTACCTCAGGGTCAGGAGTGAACGTTAAACCAATTTTGATCTCTCCGCAGTATTGCTGGTCCTTCACCACATTGTATGGAGTTGGCGGGAGACTTCCTTCCGAAAAAAGTGGCTCCAGAGAAATCCTGGAAGGATAGAATGGAGAAAAAGACGGGACTAGCATGAGATTTACACTCGGGATTTCCTACTCACTTTTCCTACCCACTCTCTACCCACTGTGAATTGAAGCCACACATCTTTATTATGAATTGAGAAATGTGTGATTCCAATTCATTGTTGGTAGAGAGTGGGTAGAAAAAGAGGGAAGTATACATTCTACAGAGTGAGCTTTCCTCGACAAATCTTCCAAGGAAAAAATGCAACTCATTACTTTGATCTATTTTGTTTTCTTTTTCTTTTTCTTTTTTTTTTTTACTACACCATCCTATATCCTCTCTCCGTTGAGATTTTTGGGAAAGATACATCCTTTTGTGATATTTGGATGGAGTTGTTTGTTATAGGTGCACAAAATACCATTACACTGGAAATAGCATGGGATAGAAAGAATATTACCAAATAATTTGATAAAAATAAAAAATACAGGTATAGTTTTTACTCACGTTGCTTCCCCCACAAAATCATCCTCAGTACCGCTATCACTATCCATTATTTTGATGTTGAGTTCTGTTGCGCCTTCAGACACAGTGAACACAAAGTTCTCATTCCATTCTGGTTCAGCTCCTTGACCTGCATTAACATGTGAATGTGATAAATGGGTGCATACAGAGAAGAAAACTGAAAAATGAGTAACTGATGATTGAAAGTCCAGCATGTATCCCAATTGGCAGCAGATCATATTGGAAGTGCATAATTGCAGCTACTAGGAAACACGTACATTCATATATTTTATGTATTTATTTCGTCCAAATTATTTATTCCTTAATCTTCTCTTTCCTTTTCCGTGTTTGCAAAGCGTGTCCTCTGCTAGTTAATAGTTCAGTACTTGTTGATAATGTCTATTTAATTTCTCCAAGTTCTTTTCTTTTTGCTTTCCACTTTCCTTTTCAAACCGGAAGCAGAAATAGACCAGTTTTTAGAGAAAAAAACATATCAATTGAACCGTAGAAAACATGATTTTGTTGTTGCCACTGCAATAATGTGACAGTATATCTATTCCAGGTTCCTCTGTTCTATTAGGACCTTATGTGCATTCCAAAGGGAGATGCTCATGGATGTATATATTTTAGACAGCAACCCCAATCTCTTGAACAGACTCTGGTTGGGGTCTGCCCAACTCTGACATGCGTCCCCCTAGGCACCCATGTATGTACACACACACGAAGAAAAAAGGAAAACAGCACGATGGAGAAGCATCAAAGATGTAGAGAAGCAAGAAATGGACCTGATGCAACACTGCTCTTTTTTTCCTGAGTACGGCAAGTGAGGATAACATATGGGTCCATGTTACCTGCTCATAAACATTTAAGCCTCATCAAACACGATATAGACAGCTGAAAATAGGGTGAAAAATATATCAAACACCGAAGTCCCTACAGCATCAAGTGATGAATGTAGTTCACCAAAATGATGGAAACCAATAATAAAGTTGAATTTCAAAACTATTTCATCAATCATGTTTGTTAAAAAACGATAAGATCAAAGTGATAAAAAAGAAAACTATAAGATCAAATGATAGAGATGATCAGGTTACTAAGTCCACCGGTATCCATCCTAAAAAATGAATCCACTATCTACTCAACTTTTCGCATGGTCCTATCACATTATCACATATGTAAGACAGCTTGAAAACATTTGCGATCTTTTTTTCGCTGCATTTACGATCTACTATGCAGTGAAACATTTACAATCTACTCTACAGAAATTGCCAATCTATAAAGAGAGAAAATAATGTAATAAACGAACTTAAAACAACAGATTATCAGCAAAAAACAAGCTGAATAATGAATGCATTCGGAGACAAAGTCAGCTTGATCGTCTAAACTACCTGAAAACGCACATCTGCGACTACTTTCATCCATATAGAAAAATCCAACCCACGCAAAGAAAGCCATGATCTATCCAATCAAGATGAGGTTTCAACAAGTTATAGAAAAACACACTGCTAGGGGCAGGGATGCCGATAGATTGAAAAGATTATTTGCTTTAAATTTTCAAATTACAGAAAATACTATAGAGAAGAATTTGGAACTTGAATGAATTAAGAACAAATAGTAGACCGATTACGAAGATCGCTAGATCCGAATAAATTGAACTTTGAAACAAGAAAACAGCAAAAGAACAAAAGAATTAAGGACATGATGTGAAAAAGAAACTTGTGAATGAAATTTTGAGAACTAAGCTACAATTCAGTTTTTACATGCATCGAGCACATAGAAAATGAAATCAAATGTCGACAAGATAATCGCAGTAAACTACTAACTACTAAGTATGTGAACGACAAAACGTGGGCGTCAGCGAACAGAAATAAAATCCATAGAAATTCAAGCAGATTGTCAACCAATATAACATGTCAATTTAGAAATTAAAACCGTGGAGAACAACATTACTGCATATGAACCGAGATCAGATTAGAACTCACTCGGAAATCAATTGAAAAAGAATTATAAGGCTTTCTGAAAAGCTTACAGAGATAATCAGAGTTTTCGAGACCCTTGGCACTGACAAGAAGAACTTCAAGCGTTCCTTGAGGCATCTTTGGATAGAAATGAAACGGAAAGCAGAACAGCGAGAATGAAGAGAGAGAGAGAGAGAGAGAGAGAGAGAAAATACGAGATGGAACGAAATAAAAGAATTTTTATTGAAATAGTGCGTTCGTACGTTGGGACTGGGGAGACCGGGAGAGGGCTGAGCCTGAGGAGGTAGGTATATTTATAGAATGCAGTTCAGCCGGTCCGAATGGTTCACAAATCCCAACCTTACCGGCTGATCGCGCCCGAAACCGCAGGCTACGGGTCGGGAATGGGATAGGGTCTCGTTGTCGCCTGAGGTTTCGTCCAAGTCAACCTTTTTACGTACCAGTCAACTTGATGGTCGGTGCACGTTCGTCCCCCTCATGCCATTGACTCCTTCACATCGAAGAAAACGGGTGCATCTTTCTGATAAATGGTGTTGATTGAGTTTCCGGTATAAAAAGTAGGGCCCAATGGTTTAATTTCCCTCCGCACATTATATTCTGATGATGAAGAATTTCGTCAAGTTATATTAATATATACGATGAAAATAGTTGAAAAAATTACTTGTGTTTTTTATTTTTCTAGATATATACTGTTTTGTTTTTTTTTTATTATTTATTAAAATTTTCAGAAATTAAATCCAACCAGATCAAATTCAGATGCCCAACTCCTTTAATCGATTTTTGTTCGAATTGACATTTATGAGATCTGATCGAAACATATATTCAATTTGTATTAAATCCATTTGCATCCCTAGGTTGTGTCTCACAAAATCTGTCTTATAGCCATGCATTATAAACATCTCTCCATGAAGAAAAAAATTCAAGTATAACGCATGGTTGCAAGGGTTGTGAGCACTATGAAATCCAAATTTGTGTCGATTGTAGGGCTGTCAAAGGGTTGGGTCCGACCCGACAGACCCAATGGACTTGAATTGATTGGGCTAGTTCTAGTTTCGAGAATTGGAATTGACGGGATCGGTTTTGGGTCCTGATATAAGGTCTTGATTATTATCGGTTTAGAATCAGTTCCACCTAGTTCCAAACCGATTCAAACCCGACTCGATATATAAACATAAATATTTATTTTTTATTTATTATAATCGGGTCATTTCGGTCAAACCTGATTGTCATGGGAACTGATTGGTTTGGTTTTGGGTCCAAAAATTATAGACCCTATCGGGCCCAATTTCGAGTCCGAATCCTCAACATTTCATGTTAGATTAGTTCTGATTCCAACTAGAGCTGCAAGTCGGGCCGGGTTAGGTCGAGTTGAGGCCAACCCTAGCCCAACCCTAACCCTAACCCAACCCGACCAACCCAACCCTAACCCTAACTAAATTCCTTCAACCCAACCCAACCCGAAGTCAATTTTGGGTTGGGTTGGGCCCAACCCAACCTTCTTCCCATTCCTTAAAACCTCATAGAATTTCTCGATTTTAGATCTTAACCCAACTTTCACTACATATATTAATTCTATATTTCATTAGTATTTGTTTGTTGACGCTTTTTTTTTTTTTTTTTTTTTTTGGTACAAAATTCAGAAAAACAAATGTTAAAATGACTATAGTTTATTATGAGTTATGACTTACAATAGATCTTTCTTAGGTGACAAACAACATAGAGGAGATGAAGAATAAATTTTTCAAAAAAAACATAAAATAATGTTATTAAGGTTTTAGTCTTTCTGATTAGGATTAAATGAAGTGATTATCTTAAAAAAAAATACATGATACTATGTGGTAGGGGCTATACAAATATCATGCATCTAAACAAATCAATATATATTATATTACATATAACATATATTTATATATTATACGTACTATAGACTTGGGTTCGGATTGGGTCTGGTTGGCTAAGGGGTCAACCCTAACCCAACCCAAAGTAAAGTTGGGTTCATGAATTTCAACCCGAACATCAACCCGACCCAACCCATCCCAACTTTTTCGGGTTCAGTTCGGGCCAACCCGACCCAAATTGCAGCCTTAATTCCAACTAGTTCCGACCCAGATCCACCGTTGATAGCCTGAGCCGGTTGTTCTATGATTATACTAGTTGTTGGACAAGTTATGAAAGAAAGACTTGAAGTGAAATTGCATTAAATTCAAGGCAATGTTTTAAAATCTGACGAAGAGGCTGAACTTTTTTTGCCAATAGGTTGTTGGTCACTGGTTTGACCATAGCATATTTTGTGTCTAAGTATTATATCAATAAAATAATTTACAATTATATCTATATATGTATATATTTTATGTTTAACTTATGTTATTCATTTATTTTTTTTATTTATAAAAATATTAAAATTTGGAATTAAAATGGGTATATTGGTAACAATAGAAGGGCAAGGCTTTGTTGCTTAAGAACACGTAGATTTCAAAAAATTACCCAAAATTGACATGAAGATCACCCAATGAGTGCAAAGGACTCTAAAAATTTGCATATATATATATATATATATATATATATATATATATATAGTGGTTAAATTGTGACCCGGTAACCAGGTCAAATGGGGTAAACTAGAAACAATTCAATCATCTAGACCAATGGTGCGTTTAAAATACTAATTCAAGGCATAACATGAATAGATTTTTTATTTTAAAAGTGTTGATGTACTCGTTTTTCATTGGGGTCACATGCAACATTGTCGTAGGATTTTCCTCCTTATCTCTTTTATAAACTGGATTAGGCTTAGGGTAATTGTAAACGAATTGGATTCGGATTAGATCTATTTGTATCCGCATGGACATCCAAAACCTCTAGATTCACGTCCCATTCAATTATTGTCAAATTTTGGATCAAATTTAGATTTAATCTACAATCATATTATTGCGTTTAAAATAATTAAAAGAATTATAATATTTATTAATTATAAATGTTATATAATTATATAATATTGATATACATGGATAATTATATTATCTTTATACATAAAATAATAATTTTATTGGATTTTAATAGGATTGGATGTGATTAAATATGCATCGATTCAATTATTAATCTAATGAAAATTTTATCATCCAAATTGAACATAATCGGATTCAGAATCGGTTATCCCATTTTAAAGAATCTATTGATAGCCCTAGTCAGGACTAAGACAATCCGGTAGCCAAAGATCGTAAAAGTATAATAAACCCATTGAGAAAATCACATCTTAACCCAGACGGGGATTGCTGGTCAGCGGAATCCTCTGGAGTGTTTGGTTATTAAATTGTTGTCATGCGCCTCATGTTTTTTAGAATGAAAAATCAGTTTATTGTATAAAAATTGAAGTAGCTTACGGCATTAAAAATAATCATGCCCTATCTTATTCATTTTCATTCTTAAAAAAAAAAGAAAAAAAAAAACTTTGCTAGTGGTTTGGGCCATTTTTGGTTTAACTCTCATTCTTCTCATTTTTATGGTTTTTAAAATCGGACCGGATTGGATGGTTGGACCGGAAAAACTGGGAACCAGTCACCTGATCGGTTCCGTTTTTTCCCAAAACCGCTTTTTTGTCCAAAACCATTGATTTTGGTTAGCAAATCGTTGAACCGCCGGTTAACCATTTGAACGGTTTTGACCATTTTTTAAATTTTTTATTTTTTTGTCAGAATGGGCTGACCGTCGACCGAGTAACCGGACCCCTTACTGGTTCGGTCACCGAGTCGGTTTTAAAAACTATGAATCATTCTTGCCCAAGATGAAATTCTAAAATGGACAAGAATGGGTAAAATGAGAAAATATTGCTATGAACCATAACGCTTTTTTCCTGAAAAATGAATTCTTTTCAAACTAACAAGTGACTTACATCAGCATAGATGTTAACCGATAGGGCTGTCAATTGAACTAGATTTGGTCTTATCCTGTCCGTTCCAATATTGGTCCATTTACAAATACATTAAACAAATCCATGGAAACCAAGTCCAATCTAGTCCAAATAAAATGCAAATAAACCAAATTGGGTCCAATCCAATACAAATTGAATCAATCACCAAAATAACATGAAAAATCCAAAAAATATATAAAAAAACTACAAACACACCTACTACAATCCAATCCAGTCCAATTAAAATGCGAATGGACCAGATTGGGTCCAATTCAATCCAAAGTGATGAATAAAAGCACTTTTGTAAAAGTACTTCGGTAAAAGTTCCTTTGTAAAAGTGTTTTCATAAAAGTACTTTTCTAAAAATACTTTTATAAAAGTACTTTCGTAAAAGAATTTTTGTAAAAGTACTTTCGTAAAAGTTTTTGTAAAAATATTTTATAAATGTACTTTTGTAAAAGTGTTTTTTAAAAGTACCTTTGTATAAGTGCTTTTGTAAAAGTACTATAAAAATGTTTGTAAAAGTACTTTTCATAAAATTACTTTTATAAAAGTATTTTCATGTAAAAGGTACTTTTATAAAAGTGCTCTCATAAAAGTATTTTGCTTTCGTAAAAGTAATTTTTATAAAATTACTTCTATAAAAGTGCTTTCGAGAAAATGTTTTCATAAAAGTGTTTTTATGCTGTTGGTTTCTAACCACTTGCATAGAATTTCTTTAAAGAATGAAAATGGACAAGATGGGACATGATTATTTTTCATGCTACAGACTATCCCAATTTTTGTGCTATGGGCTAATTTATCATTTTGAAAAGAATGAGGCTGATGAAAAAAATTTTGTACCCAAACACACTAATATTATTCATTCTTGCTCATTCTGAATAAATATAAACAAAAATTAAAAAATGAGATCCTGATCACCGAGCCAAACATCGCCTTCACCGTCGGCCTAAATCTACAAAACTATCGTCATTGGCGGGCCCAAGTATCAAAGACATGCGGACTGCGGAGACTCGGCTCTTGTCGAGCTACAACAATGAATTAACGAGAGCCACCCTGGCCAGCTGTGTTCATAATTCAAGCGATTCCTGCTCATCTATAGAATGACCTGTCATCTACCTTTCCACGAGGATTATAATCGGTAGTGTCTCTCTTTCTTGAGTCCGTATTTCCTGCACAATGCATACCGAAGACCTTTTTGTAAATCCAATCAAAGAATGCCAGGTAGTGTGTTAAAATTTCACATGTATGGGTTAGAGTAACAGACGTTTCAGACGTCTTCCCAATTTCTAGTATAAGTTCATAGAAACAACAAGTAAAACTAATCTTAACCGCGATCAACCATCGAAAGTTAAGATTACAGAAAATAATCTGAAATATATTTTTGCAAATATGTCAAAGAAAAGATGCTTGATGACTTACCTCTGTTTTTTCTATTTCTGTTGAAAGTAAAACCACCGATCGTTGAGCTCCGAGAAAGATCCGACTCTTATATTCCTGCTATTCCTTCCCATGAAAGATAACCAAGAAGAAATCCTTATGGAGTTAAAACAGAAACCAGTCAACGATGCTCTGTATAAAATGCAACGGAAGGAGAAAAGAGAAATAAAGCCTCTGAAGAGGGGTGTTGAAGAAGAACGCATTTATCAGTCCGAGAATCGTCTCAGTGTTCACGTGTTTAATTCCTGGAAATCGGAAGTCAAGGTGGAACTCTTAATTCTCCATTGTTTGATTGTGGAACTCTTAATTCTCTATTGTTTGATTGTTGATTCCAGTTGGTTTATCAGTCGGAGAATTGTCTCAGCCTTTTAGCGTTTAATTCCTGGAATCGGAAATCAAGGAGGAAGTCTTATTCTCGATTGTTTAGATTTCTTATTTTATCTTTCAATGAAATAGGAAAAAGAAATTTAACCGTATTTTTTATTTGTTTTAAAATTTTAATATACTAAAAATTGGGAAGACGTTTGAAACGTCTGTTATTCTAACTCACACATGTGAAATTTTAAGTGTTTACATGACAATTTTTTATTAGATGTACAGAAAAGTCTTCAGGAAGCATTCTGCAGGAAATCCAGACTCGTCTTTTTGTCGTGGATATATAGGGTGTGTTCATAATTCAAGCGATTCCTGCTCATCTATAGAATGACCTTTGTCATTGTCGGTAAGCTACCTTTCCACCGGCATTATAAGCGGTAGTGTCGTCTCGTGGATATATAGGGTGTGGGTAGAGTACTAGAGACTTGAATTTCAACCCAGGAATACTTGATCACACTTCACATGAATATTTATAGCCTTTTTACAACCTATATTGAACTTCAAAACTGACAGTAATCCGATAAAATGGACTCCCGATCTGATGATACTTCTTAATTTACACCCCCCCCCCTCCCCTTCAAAAAAACATCTGCTGGAAACTGATGAATACGTTATTTGCCGATGATATATGTCTATATATACTCAATATGGAGGATCGATCAGCAACTGTTATACACATTTTGTTTCCAGCAGATCCAGAGTTCTAAAAAGTATTTTTCGATGATATTTAATAGAGTGAATACTAGGATTGCTGATAAGCTTAGCTTGGGCCGGGTACCCAGTAAGTTGGATCTAACCCCAATTCTAGCCAATCTCCAACTTTCAAACCAAACTATTAAGCTTATTTATTTTAGATCGACTAAACCAAGTATATATAGAATAAGGTAACTTTGAATATTATATGCGTAACACCATAATTATTAATTAACAGCAACTCAACACAAAAAACAGGTGCAGTGCTATATATCAAGGCACACTTTATTTTGCAATACCAGTCTGTGAAAAGCTACAACAACCATAGCCAAAGTCAGATTCAGAGATGTTATTGTAGAGAATCTCCGTCTTGTATAATCTCATCTCATGGGCAGAACACAACCCGATAGTTAGTACCACCAGGACAGGTGAATGTGCTGGTGGCATCATCCTTGGGGTAACTGTAAGCATCTGGGCACCTTTGCTTGAAGAACTGGGACAAGGGTGTGGGTCCACAGCTGCCAGAGTTGCAACAGTACTGGTCAGTCTTATACACAGTGCATGGGTTGTTACAGCCTCCGGGGGTCTTGAGTTCAGCTGGGCACTGTCCGATGATATCAGCTGCGCATCTGATGCCCCGGCAGTTGCCGGTGGTGGGGCTGAAATCCATGGGGATGTTAAACCCATCGATGACTGAGATGTCGAAAAAGTCCATGTTATTGAACTGATTCAACGCGTATTCAGCTAAGGTGTTGGGTGGGGAACCATAGCCTTGGCATTGCAGGAGCCCACCACAGTCACCGGTTTGACACTGTCCCCGGCCGTTGGCATCGAAGTTGCAGTTGGTACGGCCCCAAATTCGGGCCATCGTTGTGCCTGCCGGCACGTTGATAGTCCACGATTGCCCCTGTTCGAGTCGTTGGCCACCGCCCGGGGAAGCGGCTGCCCAGACAGTGTAAGGGCACTGGTTTCGGATCTCAAATGTGGCTGCCTGGGTGAAGGTGAAGAGAAGAGTGGAAATGAGGAGGAAGACTAGGGCGAGTTTAGCCGGGGATGATGAGGTCGTCATATTGGCAACTAATTAAAGAGAATAATGAGTGCTTTCTACCATGAGCTTAGGCGGTTAGGCTTTTCTTTTTTTATAGAGGAGGTGTGATCACTATTCACTAGCGTTAAAAATTATGCACATTTTCTTGACTGGACCTGGAGTCAATGCGTCACAAAGAAAGTAAGGTTTCTGATGGGTGGGTCCAGTTGGAAACTTCCTCTCTACACGACCTACAATTAATGATGATCGTTGAAACATGAACGTGCTATTTTTAGGTCTAAATCAGTTTTCTTTACTGAACGATCTCACTAGCAAAATGGCTAATACTTGATAAAATTTTATGTAACTATTTTATTTATAAATATGCATATATTAATTAATACATTTTTCATCTGTTTACAAGCTAGTATGCCAAAACCTTCATTATGTACAATATTTGCATATAATATCTATGGGAAAAGCTCATTATTAGTCATTCAATTCTATTTGCATCATCCAAGAGGAGCACTGTGTGCCTGGGTCCAGGCCCGGGCCCATCCTATTGTTCATGGGTACAAATAAGATGGCTGTAATTTCATCATGTATTTAAAGGTGCAAGTAGGGCTGGGTTAGGTTTGATTGAGCTCAAACCTAATCCAACCCAAGTTGTTTAACCCCCAACTCTAACCGGCCGAATTCAATCTTAAAATTTCGGGCAGGTTAGGTTGGATTGAAATCAACCCTAATCCAACAATCCAGGTTGTTGAAACCCTAATTCTAACCCTAATTACCTAATCTTAAAATTTTGGGCTGGGCTAGGATTAGGTTGGGTTCATGTCGGGTTTAGACTGGTCTGACTTCTCTACTTTCTTTTATCAAGTTGTATTTATTTCTCATAGTTACTATGTTTTAAAAAATAATTTGATTTTAGCCTAAAAATTCTTCACATACAATATACATGCATACATATGCATACATGTATGCATAGATAAATATATATATATATATATATATATATATATATAAATACAAAAAGACTTGCAAAAAAATACATAAATGCATAAATATATACATTTTTATGCCACATGTATCAATAGTGAATATACATATACATGCATGAATGCATATTTCTATGATTTTTATACATACAAATATGAAGTTAAAATCAGACTCGGATTGGCTCAAATTGGTCAAAGCCTCAACCCTAACCCAATTTCAAAGTTGAATCAGTTTCATATCTTTCAAACCTTTAACTATAATCCTAACTTCAACCCAATCCTAATTTTTCCAACTAGGTTTGGAATAACCCAGCCTAAACTGCAGCCCTACTACTATTGGTTACAGTCACTCAATTGCCAACTCTGCCGGACCAACCGTAGATCCTTCCGTGTAGTCGACAACTCTAAAATGAATGTGCTTATTCAAAGAATCATCGCAACATTTCCTTGAATTTGTCCGTGCTGTGCTTCACTGTTGTGGGCTAGTCTTTTAAGAAAATCTTCTTCTATCTCTTAAGTCTTCGCATGGCCAGAAAATATTGTGTTCAAGTCCATCCAGAAGAATTCCAAGCAACAGCCTCTGCATTATTAATCATTTTTTTATGGAAAACTATACTATACCACAATGTAGAATTTTGAATTCTACTATACAACCTTATACAAATTCAAAATGACAAATACATCACCCTAAAATATCAATATTCACCCCTGTATTGACATGAATTCTTAGTTTACACTTATCCCAACTGTCTGTAAGGCTAAAAATTTTTAGGGTGTATTGAACAGTCGTACGGCCTTGGGGTGGGTTGGAATATATGGTATTGAACGCTTATTTAATTTATACGGTTATACTCAGTAATGCAAGAGATCTTCTTTCTTTAAAATAAGCATCTCAATTTGTGAGGTTTTTGTCTGATCTACACTATTTTTATAGTCAAGTCTCATCAATAGATAGTTATTAAAGGGAGGGAATTCAAACACATATAACACACAGTAGCATCCTATATTATTAATGTGACATATCTCATATTAACATCACATACGTAAAACAAATGAATTGTAATAATTATGTAAGAATTATTTATTAAAAAATGTAAAAATTAATTTTTTTAAGGGAGAATGACGGTTCAGCCCAGGATCAGAATTTTTAGGCCCAAAATACATTTATGATGAGTGTCAATTCAGATTTGATGTCAATTAATCGATAGACATTGATGTATAGAAGGGGGTTTTTTGACATTTTAATGTTTATAGGTCTACAGTGAAATTCTCCTTTTCCGTTTTTTTTTTTAATTCATGCACGTCTTTTTCACTGTTTGGTGCATATGATATGGCACCTAGCCATGTAAGGCCTAATTGCATGTTGTAGTGCTGAATTGTAAGAAAGCTTTTATCTCTCGATTTTCAGGACAAAATTGTACAAATTATGGTTTTCAAAACTGGACCGGACCGGATGGTCGGATTGGAAAAATCGGGAATCGGTCACTTCTCCAAAAATCGGATTTCCCTCAAAACCGTTGATTTTGATCAGCGAATCGCTGAACCGAACGGTTAATTATTCAAACCGTTAGAACGATTTTGACCGTTTTTTATTTTTCTATCAGAATGGGCCAAGTGTTCGATTCAAATGGTGGGACCGTTCGACCCGATAACCGGACCTCTGATTGGTTCGGTCACCGGGTCCATTTTAAAAACCATGCTACAAACGTTACCTTCTCAGTTAATAAACACCGTAGATCCAAAACAAGCCTTAAAGAAAGAGTGGGGCAGTTGGCCAAGCATGAATAGCCTTGTACCGGAAACCAACATTGATCTTCTATTGTCTGCCGATGAGATAGTAACCTAATTGCCAATTTACAAGTTGCCACCAACAATTATTTTCCACACTCGAGTCATAATTAACAAACAACTGAAAATTGTAAGAGACGCTTAACTTAAACTTGAGTTGCCTGTCAAAGAAAAGCTTAATCTTGATTTGACCTAAATACCAAAAAAAAAAGTAAAATACAAAATCCTCCAATGAAGTTTTTTATAATCATAAAACCCCCCTCAAGTTTTATTTTAACAAAAACTTCCCTTGGACTTTAAGAAAACTCTACACATACCTCCCTTCTGTCACTGAGCCAGACGGAAAACGTTTAACTGATGCATTAATTTTTCCAAAATGACCATCCTACCCTTTTAAAAGGATTCTCGAGCTCTATTAATGTGCTGTAAATTCTTTCTTTCACATATAATTTTATTAAAATAATCCTGATTTTAACTTGAAATAACCCATTTACCATCATTTTTCTTTTTCAATCTCCTACCCCTAAAATTCCATCAAGTCAAGAAGAGAGGTGGCATTCAGCCACTACAGATTCTTTCACCCCTTAAATTTTATGTCTCTGGTTTCATCTTGATAACGTGAAACCTGATCTACAAGGTGATAATGTAACCGCCTCCAATTTCAAAAAATTTCCCGCTCCCTCTCCCTCTCCCTTGTAGGCTACTCTTTCTATCTTACTCGTTGATTGCTCGCTTGCTATCCTGTGCGTGGCCCTGTCCCTGAGCTGAGTGCTAAAAGTCTGCTAGTGCTAATGAAGGAGAAGAAGCGATACTAAACAAACTGTAGTGTAAATAAAGCCTGAACAAATATAAATTCTAACGTCCCAATCCTGTGAACCTGTGAAGCAGACTAGCAGAGGGAATTAACCACCTTATTTTAGATTTTAAATTTGAAATTTTTAAATTTCAAGGGTTTGGTCGAGTTTACTCGTTTCTGTCTACTACTGCTTTGGTGCTTATTGCTCTGTTTTCCCGTCGTCCTTCCTATATGGGTCGTGTCTCTTCCACTTTGCCTGATCACGGCGATGACTTCTCCCATCTCACGAGCTCTGGACTCGGTCACCATACCGTTTCTCTCACCTCCACTACTTACGGTCTCTTCACCTCCACTAATAGAGCTCAAGAATCATTCAATTAGCAAGAATGACGTTTTCATGTCCTATGAGAATGAAAGGGTAGGATGGTCATTTTAAAAAAATTAATGCATTAGTTGAATGTTTTCGTTTGGCTCAATGACAAAAGGGAGGTATATATAGAGTTTTTCAAAAGTTTAAGGAGGCTTTTAATAAAATAAAACTTAAGGGAAGATTTTTATGATGGTTAAAAATTTCAGGAAAGGTTTTCATATTTTACCCAAAAAAACAACTTGCGGATGACCTAAAGAAGGTGAGAAACGTCCAGCCCGGTCGCCCCAAAATGAGGAGGAAACATCTTACACATATCTCTTATCTTGTGAAATTGTTACGTAACCGCTTCGAACTTTCTCATATGTAGCTGCTCTATGACGGCCTATCCCTTTTTCATACATCCACCGATTGTCCTAACCAAATTAACTTGTTGATAATTCTATTATATTTTTGAAATATAAAAAAAAATTATGATATCGGAAAGATTTGATATCAGAAGCAAAATATCTCGTAAATTTTGATAAATATTATCTAATTGATCTCTTCCATTGGTTGATTGTTTATAAGTTTTTCTTTTAATTCTATTTTTTGATATCATAATAAAATTTTATATTTTTTAATTTTAATTTTTACTACTTGGGATCTGTAAGATATATGAACTGTGTTAGGGGAAATTGAAGCAAAGGAGATTTCACATTTCAATTGAGCAGAGTTATTTTTTCACGAAAAGATAAGATACCGGGAAGGATTTGATCAATCAAAACCCTCCATGAATTTTGATAAAAATGTGACTACCACTTTTGTGATGCCAGTTGATTGATTACACATGCTTCTCTATCAACCAAAATTTAAGGGCCCCATATTTACCCACTCAAGCTACCCACCCAAGCTTGGTGTTCAAGTTATATAAAGAATTTGGTTAATATAAAATATACTACAGTAGAGGGTGTTGTGGGTTGAACTTGGTCGGGTCAGGAGGTATATTTTAGAAAAAAATGAAAAATAAATGAAAATTTTAAAATAAATTAATAAGATAGACGAAAAATTAAAAAAAAAAATCTTAAAATTTTATTTTATATAAATGTTGATGTATACAATTGTTTATATATAAAATAATAAAATAAAA